TACGTGGCATTTTAAGTGAAGTTAAAAAGCGGTTTTTGACAGATGTTTATATGACACTTTTTGTTCAGCACAAAAAACTACTCGGTCAAAGTGTTGTCAGTTTTGTAAAATAACCGTCCTATCTCATTCTATAAGGGGAAAAGGCTTCTCAAAGTATACTTCCTTGGAACGCCTGTAACTTTTCCTGTAGCGACGATAGACCCTTACTTGTCCGGACAAAGTTATACTATTTTGAGTGCTCTACAAAAAAGTCAACGGCGACGACTCTCAAAAACCGTTGTGTAAAAAGTTTTACCGTTGGACAAAAAAGTATATATAGAAAACAAAAAACGTTTATAGTTCATTCAATATTTGAGATGGAACGGTTTGCCAACGGTAACTATTAAATAAAATAAAAAAATAGAGGGGGTCTCCGTTGAAAACCGTTTATTTTAAACTTTTCTATGAGTAGTCCGAAAAAAACAGTTTATTTTTCATAATGGAAGGAAGAAAAAGTGTCGCAAACAATTCGTCGACTACCTCTGCAGTTAAAGTTCCTACAACTTATGTCTCACCATTCTCAAAACCCTTACGACCTCCTATAATACCAAAGCAACTTCCTCATACAATTCAAGACAATTTGTTGGACAATATGCATTTGCACAAAGAAACAGCTCAGCCAACAGGTCAGGCAACAACAACTATCGGAACAGAAGCATTTTCAGAAGAAGTTCATACCAATCAGACTCCAATCGAACATACAGAAACACAACCACCCGAAAATACAGAAACACATCCAATCGAACATACAGAAACACATTCTGCAATGACCACTAGGTCGCAAACACGATATCTCGCCTTTAGCAAACAATTTAAGTCTCAAATTCAAGACACACAAGATAGCGACACTCCTCTTTCAGAGAAAGTTCGTAGAAAATACGCAAAGAAAAGGTTAGAATTGTTAGATAAGTTAAATGAACAGTGGGGTTCAGAAGACAATCGAGATTATAACGAGATGTTTCAAGCTGTCATGGATGCCATTCAGCCTCTTGAAAACGAAATCAAAGACCCTGGCGTACTTGTTGACATGTTTGCTTCATATTTACCCGTTACTGCCAATCTCATAGCGTTGCAAGCTATTGACCAGTTCATTCACTTGTTTCCAAAGAACTTGCAGAAGCATTTACAAGAAGTTAAAATTGCTGAATTTGTCCGTTTATATCCAAATTCATACAATTATTTGGAAGAATTGAATGAACATGGTGAAAGGTCTTTTACTATATTTTCTACAAAAACACCAGTCAAAACGTTATATTGTATAACCTTTACCAGAATTCAAGACAATTTCCACGTTATAACAACTGTTGCTTTAGATATTCCTGCCAGAGTTCCATATGGAGGAACAGTAACTATCTCAAGCTTTCCCAAGGGCTATAAAGGAAAGCCTCTCACAATTGCAAAATTCACACACAGCAGTTGCCAATTTGTTCAAGATGTCGAGTTCCATTTCCTCAACAATACGACTTTCATCATAGAGACTCCTCAAGAAGGTATATACAAAGTTTTCATCGCAGGATTTGTTGCTCCCAATGGCGAAGAAGAAGTCGAAGAAATCCTCACCTCAGAGAGCGAAGAAGAAGAAGTCGAAGAAATCCTCACCTCAGAGAGTGAAGAAGAAGAAAATTTCCAAGACATTCAAGATTCAGAATATACCGAATAAAAAAAAACAATTTAAGACTAAAAATTTAATTTTATTATAATATTTTTATTTTTTTCATCTGGTCTTTGTATCATTCCTCCTCTAGTTTCTCCGGGGCTAGAGGGCACGAAGTGCCTGGAAGCCCCATTGCCTTTTTTTTTTTTTTAAATGAAAATGAAAATCAATGTACAGTTTTATTTTTTTCTCGCTGTGAAACGTATTCGGTCATTTTTTTAAAAATTAATTTTTTGTTAGAGATTGTTGCATGCTAAGTAGTGTCAATGTGTAAACCTCTCAATTTTATTGTCGGGGAAGCAACACAATTCCCTCAAAAATATTGAAAAAATATAGAAAATAAAATGAATTAAGATGTACTTAAAATGAGAAATATATTATGATATTAGATTTTAGAAAAAACAGACTTTTGATATAACTTTTGAGAATCTCATATAAAAAAAGCATTTAAAAATAAATTTAAATATCTTATTTATTTTACTATTGTAAATATATTCTGAGATTTTTAGAAAAAAACACTTTTCATAAGTATTCAATATTTGAGAATACGGTCCAAAAAAATAGATTCTCTTATATTTGCTTATATAAAAGGAAACTCTCTATCAGATGCGAATGCATGAATTCAGCACCTCTGATAGAGAGTTTCCTCTTATATAAGCGGATCTTTTTCATGAGTTATTGTTAATATAAAAACATAAAAAGCTACCAATATGAGAAATTAAACCCTGCGAGGTGCCAGTCTAGAACTGGCGCTTCGCAGGGTTTAATTTCTCTTGACAAATGACAAAACTTGTTCGCAATTGTGAACCATTGCGAGCAAGTTTGCCAGATATCTGGAAAGAATTGCTCCTTATGATATATGCATTGTAACTGTATATATCATAAAGAGCAATTCCTTCAATTAAACGCAAAAACTTTGGTGCAATCGTTGCTGATTGCACCAAAGTTTTCGAACTTTCCCGAGGGAATTGGAGGGTGAGAGATACATAGTCTATCTATGTACCTCTCACCCTCCAAATCCCACTCTAAATGGGAGAAACTTTGTTCGCATGTTATCTTATTCAAACAAAGTTTCTCCCATTTAGAGAAGGAATAGGAGCCTACCAGGCACTGATATATAATCAGTGCTTTGTAGGCTCCTATTCCTAATAGAAAGTTCGAAAACTCGGTCGCAATTCCATCTGATTGCGACCGAGTTTTCGAACTTTCCCGAGGAAATTGAAGGGTGAGAGGTATATAGTATGCCTATATGCCTCTCACCCTCCAATTCCTTCTCTGAAGCTGGGAAATTTTGTCCAAATGTTAAACTATTCAGACAAAATTTTCCAGCTTCAGAGAAGGAATAGGAGCCTACCAGGCACTGATATATAATCAGTGCTTTGTAGGCTCCTATTCCTAATAAAAATTTGAAAACTTTGGAGCATTTGATTATTGTATTTTGTCAAGAGAAATTCAACCCTGCGAAGTGCCAGTTCTAGACTGGTGCCTCGCAGGGTTTAATTTCTCATATTGGTAGATTTTGATGTTTTTATATTAACAAAAACGAATGAAAAAGATTTGCTTATATAAGAGGAAACTCTCTAGCAGAGGTGCTGAATTCAGGCATTCGCATCTGATAGAGAGTCTCCTTTTATATAAGCGAATATAAAAGAATCTATTCTTTTTTGGAGCGTATTTTCAAATATTGAATACTTATGAAAAGTGTTTTTCCTAAAAATTTAATATAATGCTTAGCACAATATATAAAATTAAAATATCTATAATTATTTTCTATATCACACTTTTCATTACACCTTGAAAAGTCTTCTCAAACTCTATTTTTAATTATTTTTTAGATATATCTCAAGTGTGATTATTCAAAAACTCATATAGACTATATTTATTTTTTTCATTCAAAAAATTATATGAGAATCTCAAATTAACTTTCAAATTTTTTATTTTAAAAACATATTAATAATCATATTTTAAGATACTTTTTCGCCCAAAAATAATCGTACTTCCTCGACGATTAATAGGATCTCAATTTCTATCGTTGACACTACTTAGCATGCAACATTTCTGTCTAGAAAATTCTATCTTGCCTTTTATTTTTTTCTCGCTGTGAAACGTATTCGGTCATTTTTTTAAAAATTAATTTTTTGTTAGAGATAAGAGCTAAAACTCGGTAAACAACTTCTTTATGTCTAGAAAATTCTATCTTGCCTTTTATTTTTTTCTCGCTGTGAAACGTATTCGGTCATTTTTTTAAAAATTAATTTTTTGTTAGAGATAAGAGCTAAAACTTTGCAGACAACTCCCCCATGTCTAGCAAATTTAACATTCGTCTCCCATTTTTATATATTTGGTTTAGAATGTTCGAAAATGCGTAATATGGTCATTAATATTAATTGAAAAGAACCTTGAATTAATTCAATCTGATCTCACAAAATATTTTAAATTACAAACTTTGTAGTTTGAATAGATAATTAGTATTAAACTCAAATAACTAGTTTATTTTTGAATAAAAATTATTTGAATTTATTCAATTTTGTGAATTTTCCTTCAAAAATCAAGTTTAAATATCTTATTTGCCATATAATTATAAATACAATGAAACATATTCGAAATTGAAAAGAATGACTTTTTCTGTTCTTTCAATCATTCAATTTGAATTTTGCAATATTGGATTTCTCATTAAATAGCTATTAAAAACAACAAGCAATTTAACTTACATTCAAATTTATTTGTGTTATATTCAATCTTCTCAAAACTTATAATTTTCGGCTATAGCATGATTATATGCTATATAATATAATAAACCTATAATAGTATCATTCTTTCAATTATTTGAAGAGAAAACCGAAAAAATCTATTTTCGGTCTATAACATTTTGTGAAAGTATAGCAAAAAATAAAAATTCAATATAGTATAAATGTAACTATTAAAAATGTTAAATCGTAAGAAATTTCTAATAATGTGAATTTAACGTACGATTTGCATCCGCCGATGAAAAATGATAGCAGATATGTCCTTGGTAAATTAGATTTTCAAAATATTCATTAAGTGTATAGTAAAATACTTTCACAAAATTTCCAACATTTTTAAAGTTCCAAATATTGATATACTCGCTATACTGATTTGAAATAACATAACATAAAAATTCAGAACGATTTTCACCATATTATCGTTATATTCTTTCAAATATTTCAATTAACTCAATTACACTCCTCATCAAATTATTCACAACAATAAGCATATATTTCAGACTTTTAATATCGAGGCAACTTTCTGATTCTCTGAATTTTTTTCTAAAGAGCTCACTTTAATAATGATACAACTTACCTTTACTTGGATCAATGGACTGAAGCATATCATTAATTGTGTTGGCACAGAAACTCTTGAAGACTTACTTGAGTTTCATGGCTTCACATCTCCAGACACAATCATTAGATTGTTCTATAACGGGAAAGAATTGCCATTAAAGCTTTCAACGGGTGTATTTAATCCTTCCAAACAGTACAAAATTGTCGTATATCAGAAAGAAATCCCATCTGCAACTCCTAGAGCTAGAATACACCCAAGATCGCCTGTAGCTCCCGAACAAAAATATAAGCAGCTGATGATGAAGGAGGGTGCTAGGATAACCGATAATTTTTATAACCATGTCATGAATCAACAAAAGTCTCACATCCAATTCCAAAAATCTTACCAAGCTTATATTGAAAAACAAAATACTGAGGATATCGCAATCCCGACCTTCACAAACTATGAACCCAAGCTATCTGAGGCACCTCTTCCTGTGTTTTTTGAGCCAACTCCGATATCAGCAACCCCAACGTCATCTGATAAGGATGACCTCTTGGATCATATCGACATTCCGAAAAAGCCAAATGGCGACGCTTCACAAGTGTAGACTATTTCTCATAATTTTTTGTCATACACTTACGTGAAAGCGTTTCACTCATGTGCATGAGAGTCCTATGGAAGTATTCGCCATATGAACTCTTCTTTTTACCATTTTCACTTTTTTGCGTATCATTTTGTATTATTTCTGTCATCTATATACATATTCATGTTTTCCCATATATATCTTCTCATATATCTTCATAACTACCTATGTTCTTCACCATTTCTCTATTTATTCACCATATTTCTGCGAAATATTTGTTGTAATGATACGCAAAACATTTTATCCGACTGTTTTCACCTCATTTGTTTTTATCTGCAATAAACCATGTATTTGTATTCTTAATTTTTCTTATTTTTAGCAAATGTATTTTGAATTTTTTTTTCTCCCTTTCAAATATTAAATATATTTCTCAATAATTACAAGTATAATCTGGAAAAAAGAGTCTTTGTTAAATTTAAATAAAAAAGAATAAGGCGACCCGCTCTTGAACCTTTGCCAATATGAATTTTTTTTTCTAAACAGTATCTTTTGGAAAACAGATAATATTTCTATTAATAACATCTTATCTAATTTCAAAGAATCAATTGATTTTGAGTGTTTGGAATAAAAATCTTGTATAATGTAAGCATCAGGATGACAATCCTATTGCTCTTGACTGTACTATTATTATTGTGTCGTTTCTCATCAATATATTTAATCAAAAGTAATAAATTTTATCAGAAATCTTTGTAGTCATTGCTTTCCACATTTATAACATAGGATATTTTTCTCCTAATGAATTTAAGTGGTAAGTTATATGGGAAAACGCAAATATATCCTTTATAACAATTATTGATGTCCGACCAAGATGCTCATCCAAACAAATACAGCGAATTGCGAAGTAACTACAAATACTATATCGATATATGCAATGCGTTATATCAGTTGAAAACGGAAAAAGAAGAAGAATTAAACTCAATTTTCAAAATGATCAAAACAGAATTGATTGATTCAAATAAATATCCTCCCCAAAATATGATAAAAGATGTTTTGTATATCATTTCGTACAATAATCGCTATGCAAAGTCATATTTATATCTTGCCAAACTCATATCTGATGAATATCATGTCAAAGAGGTCAATATTGTCACACATATCTTAAACTTCCTATTTTATAATGAATATGGAATTAAATTAGACAAATCTGCCGATTTTGAAAAAGTTAATTCAGAAAATCTCGATATTCATGCAGAAAATACAATTTACAGAGCAATTATGTATAATGACTTAGAAATATTTATCTCATTCACAGAAAGAGATGGATTTGATAAAGATCAAAAACTTAAAAGTAATTTATATCCATATTCTAAGAAAAGATATTCATTACTTGAATTATGTTGTTACCACGGAGCAGTTGATTGTTTCAAGTTATTAAGATCGAAATTTAACTCAGAAATAACTGGAACATGTCTTCAATTTTCATTTTTAGGAAGAAACAAAGAGATCCTGAATGAATGTTTGAAATATAAAACACCAAATACAGAATGCATGAAATATGCAATTATTTCACACAACATTGATTTTGTCACATTCTTGATGAATGAGTACAAAATAAAGATCAATGTAGAATACTGCGGAATTTACAATAATCTTGAATCCTTTTTAGTTTATTTCGATCAAACTATTGATTTTGACAAATGCTTTGTTTATACACCGATATTTAATATTCCATCCCTCATCGAATACTTCCTTTCACACGGTGTAAACATCAATGAAAAAAATGAAAGTGGAAAAACTGCACTTCATTATGCAGCATATTATAATTGTAAAGAATCTGTTGAAGTTCTCATTTCACATGGTGCAAATATCAAGGAAAAAGATGAATATGTAAAAACCGCACTTCATTCTGCAGCATATTGTAATAGTAAAGAAACCGCTGAAATTCTTATATCGCATGGTATAAATATCAATGAAAAAAAAAATAAATCTGGAGAAACTGCACTTCATTCTGCAGCATATTGTAATAGTAAAGATGCTGCCGAAGTTCTCATTTCACATGGCGCTAATATCAATGAAAAAAATGAAATCGGAAAAACTGCAATTCATTATGCAGCATATTATAATAGTAAAGAAACCGCTGAAATTCTTATATCGCATGGTATAAATATCAATGAAAAAAAATAATTCTGGAGAAACTGCACTTCATTCTGCAGCATATTGTAATAGTAAAGATGCTCTCGAAGTTCTCATTTCACATGGTGCTAATATCAATGAAAAAATGATTACGGGAAAACCGCTCTTCATATTGCAGCACGTGAGAATAACAAAGAAACTACCGAAGTTCTCATTTTACACGGTGCTAATATTAATGAAAAAGATGAAGGTGGAAAAACTGCACTTCATTCTGCAGCATATTATAATAGTAAAGAAACTGCCGAAATTCTTATATCGTATGGTATAAATATCAATGAAAAAGATGATTACGGGAAAACTGCTCTTCATATTGCAGTACATGAGAATAATATAGAAACTGCCGAAGTTCTCATTTCGCATGATGCAAATAATGTTCTCACATAAGTACTATTCTTTTTCTGGTAATTTCGAAGATGGAGAAAAAGGAGAAAAAATAAGTCCTAAAACAAAATACTTATAACTATGATATATGCATTTTATTGGGCAAATTTTTAAAGAATTGCCAAAATGACCCAAGAATTGCCAAGTCTGCATCCTTAACTGTCATCAAATTTCGAGCCGAATATGGAATAACCATCCGAATTCTCAATTTTATTTGGGCCTATTTTAAAAATGCTTAGAAAGAATGACAATCAAACGACTCATAATTATTTGGTCGGGCATTAAAATAAATGCCAAAAAATTTATTTTCATCTTGTTTTAAAAATGTGTAAGATTTATTTCATGGGATTTATACGAATACACTCACTTCTAGGCCGGATTCCTTTACAACAATAGGCTTCCAATTTTTATTTTCTATTGACTTATTTAATAAAAGGGGGAGAAAATAGGTATTGCAGTGTAAAAAAAATGCAATTCGAATCATTAAGAAAGCTTCAGAAGCATATTTATAGCCATATTCTCGCAGATGATATGAATAATATCTCATGTAACGTCAAACGCGATAAATTTCACGGTATTTTTTCATTAATTGACGATCCAAATTCCACTCCATCTGCTAAATTAACGTCTAAATACAATTCCGAAAATACGTCAATTATTGGAATGGTAGATACACACTTATCTGCATATGCTTCCCTTCGTCAACAACTTAAAAAAGGATTTAAAGTAGAAATTGATGCATCAACAAGAAATTTCACTCCATCATTATTTATGAAACAACCAACGTTTTATGATGGCATGGTTTCTATTGCAGGAATCATTAATTCAAATCCAATTTCTGCAAAGTTCGCGCTTGGCTTATCTAAATCCAATTCAATTCTTACCCTATGCTCGTTTAAATCAAATACATTCGAAGCAAACCTTAATTTTTCTGTTACAGAAAATAATGCCAAACTAACCACTTCAGCTCTTCATCAAAGTGGCATAATGTGCAGTGTCTCTGCTGATATAGCTCAACTTACAGCTAGTCAGCTACAAATTGGCCTCATAAAAGGCATTAAAAATAAAGGAATTTATTCTGTAGCTGATATCCTTCAAAAATCACTGACCATTGGCGGAACTACGCCATTCAAGCTCGGAACAATGGGATTTATGGCTTATACAGACAAAAATCTCAAGCCAATCCTTCAAATCGGAATGTATTTACCAAGAAAGGCGTCATTTACATGCTGCTGCTCTCAGGATGGCTTTGTTAAGATGAGGGCCGACTTCTCACCTCGTCCATGGCTTGATGTACAAATTAGGTCTCAAGCTAACGCTCTTGATTCATTTAACCAAGTAGAATTTGGCTATTCGCTTAATTTTAACTTGTGATCAATTATGATTTTCTGGATTTTTTAATAAAAGTTGTTTTATTTTGTTACAATTTTAATTTTAAAAATCAAAAATAACATACCTTTGAGGTCTAATTAAATTCGAATCTATTAATCATCCAATATAGTTTGTGAAAATTGAAAGGATAAGACTTATATTATTGTGGTAAGTTTATTATGTCTGATCAAGTCATGAATTCAAACGAATACAGTAAGTTGAGAAGTATCTATAAATATTACATCGATTCATATATTACCTTGTATCAGCTAAAAACAAATAATGAGGAAGAAATAGAGAATATTTATCAAATGATCAAAACAGAATTGATTGATTCAAAGGGATATCCTCCACAATGTATTATAAAAGACATTTTAAATATTATCCCGTATAATAACCGCTGCACAAAGTCATATTTGAAACTTGCAAAACTTGTATCTGATGATTATGATGTAAAAGAGGTAACAATGATTCCAATGATTTCAAACTTCCTATTTTATAAAGAATATGGAATTCAATTGGACATGTGTGATGATTTCGAAGAATTAGTCCACCAAGATTTAGATATTCATTCTGACAATACAATTTATAGAACAATTATGGATGACAACATAGAAAGATTCATTGCATTCACGGAAAGAGAAGAATTTGATAAAGATCAATTACTTGCAAACGATTTTTATCCACTTTATTACATAGGTTATTCATTACTTGAATTATGTTGTTACCACGGAGCAGTTGATTGTTTCAAGTTATTAAGATCGAAATTTAACTCAGAAATAACTGGAACATGTCTTCAATTTTCATTTTTAGGAAGAAACAAAGAGATCCTGAATGAATGTTTGAAATATAAAACACCAAATACAGAATGCATGAAATATGCAATTATTTCACACAACATTGATTTTGTCACATTCTTGATGAATGAATACAATATAAAGATCGATTTATACGAGTCCGCCTTTTATAATAATCTTGACTCGTTTTTGGTTTATTTTGATCAAACTAATAATGTTGACAAATGCTTTCGTTATTCTGTAATTTTCAACATTCCCATCACTTTGCGAATATTTTCTTTCACTTGGTGCAAATATCAATGCAAAAAATAAATATGGAAATACAGCTCTTCGTGAAGCATCTTATAGCATTAGTAAAGAGATATATGCACTTCTCCTTTATTACGGTGCTAAGTTTGATTAAATAATAACGATAGCAAGATATTTGAACTTTTTCTTTCACTTAATGAAAATATAAATGAATAATGTGAAAATGAAGAAACAACTCTTCATTATGCAGCAGAAAATAATAGAAAATTAATACATGAACTTGTTATTTTTCAAAAGGAAACCACCAGGATTCGCTTGTATTCCAGCACGCATACAGAATGAATGCGGAAGTAACTTTGGCCGCACAAAATAGCTGAAATTTTTCTTGGTGGATTTTCATCACAGAGCCAGCAAGGAGGCGCTGGTGGAGGAAGTTCTTGGGCATTATCACGTGATGCGATCATCCCAGAAGGTGATATTGAAGCAACCGACGAATTTTATGATAATGCGGAATCACATCCATATGGATTCACAAAGACATCCGGTTATTTATTCACAGATGTCGAACATGCAGCCGGTATCTGGAACGGCCATGGACGAATCATCATTACATATATAAGTTCTCTTAAATGTCCATCTTTCATATATTCTCTTCCTCTTTTTATCTAAAAAAGAAAAAATATTAAATGAAACAAAAATGATTAACTGAATGGGATCAGATTAATATAATTAGAGATAACTTCAGCAAAAACAAGGATAACGTTATTGATTTTTATCTCCAACTTGTTTAAATATAATGAATAAATGCTTTAGTATTTACACAATTACAGAGTCACCTTTCACAACAATTCAAAAATAGCAATTTTATTATTTTTTTTCCAATTTAAGAAGTTGGTTCTGTTATGTATTAGTTGGGGATAATTTCCTTATAGATTCATAGTAAAAATTTATATCATTCAATTAAATTACCCTAAAAATGAAAATCAACGTCAAAAAATGTTTTAGTTACATAGCGAATCGTTTAATATTTTATTTTTTTTCATTTTCATAGAATAGTTATTTTATTATTCATGATGAAGTTTCGGAATCTGTGATGCCGACTTTTTGTCGAAACTTTGTTTTGTAAATATACTATGAAATATGATATCATATAGGTTATATAACGAATCTGTCCCCGGTGCAGTTAAAAAAGTCACCATAAATGAGAACCAGTATCTTTTTGAATATCCATGTGAATCTCACTATATTTGCACAGATTATCAAATCATACTTTCACGCGGCAAATATATGTTTGAACTATATGGTGCATCAGGTGGTTCTCTTAATAATAAAACATCATCATATCGATTCGAAAATAATTCGTGCATCGACGATTCCATTGTTCGACGGTATAACGGCAACACTCAATGCGAAAAAATCGGGAGTAATGGTGGTGCGGGAGGTTATATTTCAGGCACTATTATTCTCCATTCCGACACTATCACTTTTTTGACAATTGGAGGAAAAGGAATTTTTTCCTACAATATCGAAGAGAAAAATACCGATAGATGCTTTAGCGAATATCGAAACAGAGGAGGCTATGGCGGCGGAGGTAGCTCGGCAAATTATTTTTACAGTCAACAAATTAAAGGTACAGGAAGTGGAGGTGGTCAAACCACTGTCAAATTTCTGAAAAATGATTTGTGGTATCGAGTATTAGTTAGCGGTGGTGGAGGCGGTACAGATGATGCATCTGGTGGAAATAACGGTATGGTTGACGATGGTTCAGGAGGTGCAGGAGGAAATATAATTGCACAAAGTTGGTTTTTGAATGGAAAATTACAAAAAACATATTTTGCTAATTCTACGAATGGATTCACATTTGGAACAGGAGAAGCTGCACGATTTGACCCTAAGAAGAATCCAAATTCTGTCACAAATGGTGACAAATTTGACAATGCTGGTGCCGGTGCAGGTTGGTTCGGTGGATTTGCATCACAGAGCCAGCAAGGAGGCGCTGGTGGAGGAAGTTCTTGGGCATTATCACGTGATGCGATCATCCCAGAAGGTGATATTGAAGCAACCGACGAATTTTATGATAATGCGGAATCACATCCATATGGATTCACAAAGACATCCGGTTATTTATTCACAGATGTCGAACATGCAGCCGGTATCTGGAACGGCCATGGACGAATCATCATTACATATATAAGTTCTCTTAAATGTCCATCTTTCATATATTCTCTTCCTCTTAATATCAACATTCTAATATTCATTATCTTACTTGATCAAAACTCATCTTAACATATTCTGAATAAAACTAATGAATTCAAAGCTCAAATTAAACTATATAACATATTTACTCTCCGATAAGGATATACCATTACAGGTTTTTTATAAGAATGGGAAAATTTCATTCATTAGATTATTTCTATTGATAATAGAAAAATAAAAACTAGATCAAATATATTATGTAAAGGAATTAAGGAGTTGTTGTTAACATATATATATATATATATTTTAAATCCACAGTGCTGTAATTAGATATTGTCGTCTCTTCATATATTATATATTAGACTCACAAATTTTATATTTTTTGCAGTTCTTACATAATATTAAGACTTGGAATAGCATGCAGATATCAAAAATAAAATCGAAAAAGTATATTCGGCTTATTTTCCGATGAAACAATCTTCATAAGTTAGTATATGTCAAAAATAATAGGATGAAATGTTGGTGTAAGCGCACTCTTAAATGACAGTTTTCATTAAATCTGATTTATATGATAGTGATGAAGCATGATTACCTGTAGTTTAGTAAATGAATCTCTTCCAGGTTCTGTTAAAAAAGTCACCATCAAATGGAACCAATATCTTTTTGAGTATCCATGTGAATCGAATTCTGTGTGCACTGATTACAAAGTTAAACTTTCACGAGGAAAATATATATTTGAATTATATGGTGCCTCAGGTGGTTCTCACATTAATAAAACAACTTCATTTTGTTTTGATAATAATTCCTGCATCGACGAATCTTTTGTCCGCCGCTACAATGGCAACACAGAATGTATTAAAAATTCAAGCATTGGTGGTGCAGGAGGTTATATTTCTGGAACAATTATTCTCTATTCCGATACTGTCACTTTTTTGACAATTGGAGGGAAAGGAATTTTTGGACATTCTTTAAAAGAAATGAATACAGATAAATGCTTTCAGAAAAAATATATAATAAAGGGTGGGTATGGTGGTGGAGATAGTTTCTCAAATTATTATGATATCTCATATCCTCAGTGGGCAGGTTCAGGAAGTGGAGGTGGTCAAACCGCTGTCAAATTTTTGGAAAATGATTTATGGCATCGAGTTTTAGTTAGTGGCGGTGGAGGGGGCACAGATAATGCCTTTGGAGAATATGGAAAGTTAGATGATGGTTCGGGAGGTGCAGGAGGGAATCTCGTTGCACAAAATTGGTTTTTGAATGGTGTTTTGAAACATGAATATTTTGCAAATTCGACTAATGGATTCACATTTGGAACAGGTGAAGCTGCAAGATTCGGCCTGAAGAAGAATCCATATTCAGTTCCAGATGGGGAAAAATATGATAATGCAGGGGCTGGATCTGGCTGGTTTGGTGGGTTTTCATCACAAAATGGGAGAGGAGGTGCAGGTGGTGGAAGTTCTTGGGCATTATCACGTGATGCGATCATCCCAGAAGGTGATATTGAAGCAACCGACGAATTTTATGATAATGCGGAATCACATCCATATGGATTCACAAAGACATCCGGTTATTTATTCACAGATGTCGAACATGCAGCCGGTATCTGGAACGGCCATGGACGAATCATCATTACATATATAAGTTCTCTTAAATGTCCATCTTTCATATATTCTCTTCCTCTTAATATCAACATTCTAATATTCATTATTTTACTTGATCAAAACTCATCTTAACACATTTAGAATAATAAAAAATTATGAAATTATTTGATTGCCATTTTTTCATACAATTATCTCTGCTTTGTTTATGTCTAATGTAATGATGCTCTGATACTCATAAAATTATAATATATATTATTTTTGACACACATCTAGTTAATTTAAAATTTCAAATTTAATTTTTCAAAATTAAGAAGATGATTGTAGCAAGTAGTGTTTTAAAATAAATGATGTAAATCATTATTAGTGAAATCTATAATGTTCCTCTATTTTGTTTAGGAATTAACTTCAGATTTGATTCAAATTCACCACATATTATTTGATATTTAATTTTTATTTATCTTTTATCAATTTTACATTAGAATGGTCATTTCACTAAACATGATGAAGTTTCGGCATCTGTGATGCCGATTTTTTGTCGAAACTTTGTTTTGCAAAAATATTTTGAAACATGAAATCATGTAGTTTATATAACGAATCTGTTCCTGGTGCAGTCAAGAAGGTTTATATCAGCGCAAACCGATATATTTTTGAATATCCATGTGAATCTCACTATATTTGCACAGATTATCAAATCACACTTTCACGTGGTAAATATATGTTTGAACTATATGGTGCATCAGGTGGTTCTCTTAATAATAAAACATCATCATATCGATTCGAAAATAACTCTTGTATTGACGATTCCATTGTTCGACGATATAACGGCAACACCAATTGTGAACGAACTCCAAACAATGGCGGCGCAGGAGGTTATATTTCTGGAACCATTATTCTCCATTCTGACACCGTCACTTTTCTGACCATTGGTGGCAAAGGGATTTTTGGATATAATATCAAAGAAAAAAGTACAGATAGATGTTTTAAAGAATATCGAATTAGAGGAGGCTATGGTGGTGGTGGTAGCTCAGCTAATTATTTTGATTCGTCAAATTCTCTATATACACGTTCAGGAAGTGGAGGCGGTCAAACCGCTGTCAAATTTTTGAAAAATGATTTATGGCATCGAGTATTAGTTAGTGGTGGTGGAGGGGGAATAGATGATGCTAATGGTCAATATGGCAGCAGTGATGATGGCTCAGGAGGTGCAGGAGGAAATCTTGTTGCACAAAGTTGGTTTCAGGATGGAAATCTGAAACATGAATATTTTGCTAATTCTACAAATGGATTCACGTTCGGAACAGGTGAAGCTTGTCGATTCGGATCTAAAAAGAATCCGAATTCAGTTCCAGATGGGCACAAGTATGATAATGCAGGTGCTGGATCTGGCTGGTTTGGTGGGTTTTCATCACAAAATGGGAGAGGAGGTGCAGGTGGTGGAAGTTCTTGGGCATTATCACGTGATGCGATCATCCCAGAAGGTGATATTGAAGCAACCGACGAATTTTATGATAATGCAGAATCACATCCATATGGATTCACAAAGACATCCGGCTATTTATTCACAGATGTCGAACATGCAGCCGGTATCTGGAACGGCCATGGACGAATCATCATTACATATATAAGTTCTCTTAAATGTCCATCTTTCATATATTCTCTTCCTCTTAACATCAACATTCTAATATTCATTATCTTACTTGATCAAAACTCATCTTAACACATTTTGAATAAAAAATTATAAATCCAATACGCAAGCTTCAATAATGCAATTAGAGCTGAAATCAAATATAATAATATTTGAATTCAAACATCAAACTTCATAATACATTTACTCTCCTATCTAAGTAATGCTGTTTCTAGATATTAAAAGAAGCTCTAGATAATTTTTTTTGAATTATTTACACGGATATATTATTAAACAGCATCTACATATTAAAATTTTTCATTCAAAATTTTAACCATAAAATAAACAAGAGGAGTAACGTAGTTTTACTTATGTTTTAAATTTATCGAGATTAAAATTTTCATCCCATCGGTTTTTTTGACAAAAAAAGAATGAACGTTCAAACAAGCGCTTTCCTTTACATCAAGAAAATGCTTGATACACTACCTGGTGTCAAAGCCCTTCTACTTGATCAGGATACATTCAGTTATATCAGTATTGCAATGACAAAAACAGAATTACTCGAAAATGAAGTAGTTTTATTCGAAAATCTCAATGCACGTGTTGGAAAACCAGAAGAACCAAGCTTAGCATCAATTAATTGTATTATTTTCGTACGTCCAACTTCAGAAAATGTAGAAATGATTTCTCGTGAGTTAGACAATCCTCACTTCCAAAAATACAACATATTCTTCACAAACACATCAGCTGAAGCACATATTCGTCAACTTGCCGCTCATGATTCCCATACATCTGTTGATGCAGTCAGAGAGGTATTCTTTGACTTCTATCCACTCAATGCAAAACTTTTCTCATTGAACATCCCCGATATTTCTACTCTTCGCGCCGGAAATTCCTTTACAGAAATCGCAGGGCGTGTTCCTGAAGGACTCTTCGCATTCCTTTGCTCTCAGCGTGTTAAGCCACACATCAGATTTGATTCCAGCTCCAACGCATGCCAATCCGTTGCAAGATCTGTTTCATCATTGATCGATGATTCACGTGATCTCTTTGCTACAGCACAGGAAGGTGCCACTGTCCTTATACTTGATCGTCGCTCCGATCCAATCGCACCTCTTCTTCATCTTTGGTACTATTCTTCAGCATTACACGATTTATTCGGAATTGACAAGAATGTTGTCGATGTCAATGGGACACAATATGTTCTAAATGAGCGTACGGACCCAGAGAGTGCATCATACTATACAATGTACCTTGGAGATTTGGCTCCAAAATTAGATGAAAGAGTTAAGCGAATCCAAGCAGTTCTAAGGGACATACAACGTCAAAGTGAAGACATAAATGACATGCACGGCAAGATGAGCGCTGTTTCTAAAGGCCAAACCGAAAAAGTTTACGCAAATTCACATTTGGACTTGTTTAATGCTCTCCATACTAAGATTACACAATCCAATTTGATGGAAGTGTCCGGTCTCGAGCAAATTGTCGCTACTTACGATTCTCCTTCAGATCAATGCCAACAAATCATCGAAATCATCAACAACCCAAGCGCAAAGCCTTTGGATGCATTAAGACTCGTTTTAATCTTCGCTTTACATTACGAAAAATCAAATTCTGCAAATTTGATTAATAAAATGCTCGAAACACTCGAAGCGAAGTCAGTTTGGCATAACAACGAGATGAAGTACGTCGATGGCATCATAAGAGTCATGGGAGATAACCAGAGAGGACACGAAGATTTATTCCAAAATAGAACTGGCTTCACAAAGTTCGCTAGAGGTATCAAATCAATTGTACAGGTAGAGAAAAGCGCGTACGAGATGTACAAGTGCTTACTTTCCAGGATTTTACAAAGAATGAGAGATGGAAAACTTTCTGAACAGGATTACCCATATGCAACTAAGTCACAGCCAACTAAAACAGGAAGAATAATTGTTTTCTACGTCGGAGGTGCAACTTATGAAGAAATGAGAGTTGCTTCCGAAATTTCAAGACCTGGATTCGATGTAATCGTTGGAGGAACAACTGTTCATTCCGCAGAGTCGTTCCTTAAATACGAAGTCGCTCCTTATTGCTAAATTTTATATTTTTTGTAAATTAAATTTTATCTAAACAAAAAAAATTAAATTTTCTATCAATTGTTATGTATCATTATAAGTACTTTTCGAAAAATAACCGTATCTGGCAATTCATGCCGACAAAGGGCATTTCCAATTTTTGTGCGTTACGGGCGGGAGCGCCTGTGAATTTGTTAACCAAATAGAAGAGATTTACTTTCTGTTTGTTTCCTCTGAATGTAGAGAAAGGGTTGCCGATAGTGTGTGTAAACTCTTCTCAATTCCTCTCAATAGGTCTGTGTGAGATTTTTGTTTTAGTTAGTATACATATCAAGTGTACGGAGGCACTGCGCGCCACCTTACCCCTGATATGTGAATTTGACACTTTACGAAACCGTTAACGTATATTTTACAACACTAACGACTTCACTAACATTTTCACTAACATTTTCACTAACGACTTCACTACTGTAAAAATAAACGTTCTCACTAACGTTCCAACTAATGTTCTCACTTACAAAAGTATTGCAACTCTTCCCATTGCTGTGCTTCACACAATAGTTCATATTCTTCAGTATCGCTGCTGTCACTCCAATCGTCAGAGTCAAAGTCACTGTCAAAATAAATGTTAGTAAGTTTTGACAAAGCTAATGAAACACGCTTACCGTTTGTATCTATTGCTTTTATATATCTCCCATTATGTTTGTTGTCATAAACGCTCAAACTAACTTTACCCTTTCTCCCTCGTATCTGATAGAATGTATTTTCACGAGGAACGAAGAACAAATTCTTGAACTCATGACCGTTGTAGTTTGTTATCTCAATAGTTTTCGTCATTTATATAAAAATAAATAAAAAATAAACTTAAAAATTAATGATATCACCACTCCACGTATGAAAACATCCATTTAAATTTAGGTAGAAGGTTAGATCTAACCTCATTTCTACCTCATTTCTACCCTGTTGAATTCATTGCTTTATAACTCTCTTCCTTGGTTTCTTTTTAGTTGCTTTCTTCACGTCTGTCTCCAACTTGACTGTCTTTCTTCTTCGGCCGTAATGATACCAGTTACTTCCACCAGTCAATGGGTCAAATGGTCTTTCGTAAGGGTTTCCATACATTCCATAGGGACCATACGGAAGAACTACTGGTGGAGAAGAAACATTTTCTTTAGTTCCATCGACTCTATTTAAATGCATTGTTTCACCTTTCATCTGGTCATTAAAGTCTTTTGCGTGTTTTGCAAACTCATCGTCCTTTCCTAAAGCATTTTCTGACTCAGTCGCAACCAAATTGGATGCTTTATTTATGAGCCCTATTTTATTTAATCTTAACTTCTTTGCAACCCAGCCTCCAATCTTCCTTTATTTGCATCTAATGTCTTCGAAACCCTTCCTCCACTCATTTTATTTACTGCGTCATAAGCTCCAAGTGCTTTTGCTCCAAATGCTAATGCTTTTGTTCCCATTGCGCCTAAAGCTGCCCAAGCTACCATTTACACCATATTAAAATCATCTCTCTTCAATATTATCTCATAAAAGTTCTCGTTACTGGAGAAAGTCAATGAAATATAAGCGTTCTCACGGGCTTCGCCCTCACCGCTTTGCGGTCTATCTAACTTCTTTCTTATCTCATCTATTCTTCAAAATGTCTGAACAATTGCTAACATCTTCTACAACAGTTATTTCATCATGAATGACCTTCAAGAACAAGCTCATTTAATATGCAATTAAAATCATTTCAATAATGAGTCCATCCTTTCCATCTTTAGGTAGCACAACATCTTTCATTGAAGAAGGTTCGACAAGTCTTATGTTAAACTTACTGACAAAGTTTGTTATACTATAATGCTTCGGCGGCGAATACATGTAGTTTGAAAGACATAATATAGATTCTTCAGCAAATTCACTTATACTGGATTTTATAACAATGTTCTCACGAGACCAAATGCCACCAATTGACAATCTTGTAAGCAATCCTGCTGAACCTTCAACTGTAAACGTCGATGGTAACATTCCACGAAGGTCATCTATTGACATCTTTGAGTCACTGAATTTAAATATTTTCTTAAAGCAATCGTCATTATCTAACCATGCAATAGCTTTGAAGTTTTCATTCGAATATACATCTGCTTCATTAAATGTAAAACCTGACTTCTTTGCAGAGATTACTTTAAAATCTATTGAGTTTGTTTCAAAATTATATGCTATGGTAACTTCTGAAGGTAATGGGTGTCCTTCCGCAGTCAGTTGTTCTCTCACTACCGTTTGAAGCTTTGTGTTAAAAACTTTCATGTCATCTCCTGTGTCTAGGTTCACATACACAGCAACAGGGAAACTATCTTGCTTCTTTGTTTCATCATTATACCTCAAAACATTAAAGTTCTTCAATAATATTGTTCTTCCTGCTGGAATACTTCGAACTTGTCTGATTTCAATAGCTTTCTCACCTCCTACATACTCTACCCAGTGTCTTGGATATTCATAAGTATACTGACTTTCTTGAATTTTGGTAGGTTTCATCATAACATGTTCATAGTATATCTTTATACTCTTGTCAGTTAGACTCGGTGCTATGTTCTGAATATTTCTGACTTGCATTTTTAATGGAGATAAAATGAAGCATTTAATACATGACGTAGATGAAGACATGAATGAAACTACAGACAAACTTAACTCTTCTCTCATTCTTCCTTTCAGTAAGGACTATGAGTTCTGTTCAAATGGTGTTTATTTCTATTGTGGAAAGATGGGTTCAGGTAAGACATTTAACCTCATTCGTCATATACTCATAACAGAGCGTTTAGGAAACGACTCTTACTATGACCAAATCATTATATCAGCAACTTCAGACTCTATGGATTCAACAGCGAAAACATTTATGTCAAAAGTTCAAGCCTCTGTCGTTAAAGTTCCAGACAGTGAACTCATTGAATTTCTTCAACGTTACATTCGACGTAAGAGGAAATATTATGCCATCGTTGAATTTATACAGTCAGGAATGCAAAAGACTTCAGAAGAGATGGAAAGAATTATTGACAAACACCACTTACGTCAGTACTCAGGAGTTTACGATATGAAACGACTGACAAACTACATTCTATCAAAACTTTCAAAATACCCCTTCAAAAAGTATCCTTCAAACACTCTGCTCGTTTGTGACGACTTCGCCGGAAAAGGTTTAGTGTCAAAGCCTGACTCACCATTAGCTAACATCATAACTAAAGTCAGACATTACCATTTAACTGTAGCAATACTTATGCAAACATGGCGTTTTTGCTTTAAACATAAAACGTCTCATAACTGACTTCGTTATCTTTCAAGGTTTCTCACGCTATGATATTGAACTCATTTGGAAACAGTCAGGTATAACATTACCTTTTGAAGAAATTTGGGAAGCATATAAGTCTCTCATCTCTCCTCGTTCATACCTTGAGATTCATATCATGACTAATACCATTAAAGTCAAAAATATTCCATGGGAACGACCAACATTGTTTTAAAGTTTAACTTCAATTGACTGATGGTAAACAAATTCCATGCATCTCTGTCGCCATTTCTGTTAATATTTTTGCTGTCATTCATATCATCCACTTCCCCATCCGTTAGCTTTTGAGGATATGCGTTAGAATAGCTGTTCTTAAATGAAGGCTTTTCACCTTTGAGAGCATAAACTCTATAACTTTCTGCATACTTTATGTTTGAACCTCCTGAGCCATCATTGACATAAATTTTTATAGGCTTCCACCCTTTGTTCATGTTCCTGCTTCTTCCCTTAGCTCTTTTGTTCAGTAGTTCTACATCTTTATACACAGCCTGTCTCAGTGAATTCAACAATATTTTCATTCGTTAGCTTTACATTCAAACCCTTGTCGAGTATATTGTTCATTTCATACATATAAAAGGTTTTTATTCTATATGAAATGAGAAGCAAATCCATCTTAGCTGGTGCCGTTAATGTTCCAATTGAACCAACATCAAATGTTGACTCACGAACGACAAACAATATTGTCATAAAGAACTATAGTTCAGAGTGTTTGAAAGAAAAAGAACCAGAACTTAAATCGGTGAATTTAAACAGCTTCAAACGCTAACGCTACATCAGATGTTAAGTTAGAGTATCCACCACTGGACCAAATTCTTTCAAGAGAAGCCAACGACAACCCTTACACAAATGTTCAAACAAATCCTTCAGATAACGTAGACCATTACCTTCTTCAGTTATACCAAACAATTTTACTCAAAGACGATAAGAAGCTTTTGACAAATCTTATAAGTAAGAACCAAATAATTCTAACAAAGGAGGACCTTGAAAATGTTATATCACGAATAACAGGGAAACAATGTGTCATTGACTATCTCGACCCTGAAATCGAATGCTGTGGTCAAACTCCAATATTCATGAAAATAGGTAACATCCGCATCATTGAAACACCAGGTACTACAGGAGTTGAGTTTAAGTATAAATATTCGAACGAGTATACAAAACTTCACACTATAAACTTTGTTTGAAATATGTTTTAGTAAATTAAAGCAATTTGTAATATCTATCCAAAACTTCTTCAACAGTATCGAACTCATCTTCATAATGCAAACCTAATCTTATTGACTTGGTGCAGTTTTCACTAACACAATATTTTTCTGTTCTCTTGACTGACATAACTAACTCATTTGTTTCATCAAACAGCAACAACCAAAGTTCATGACCTAATACATAACATTCATACTTTATATTTTTAGCTCTGAGTTCTCTTGTAAGCTGTTGCATTTAATATTTTCTAAAAAGTCAACTTCAACAGTCATTCGCACTGGTGCCTTCAGTTCTACAGGCTCTCCTTGAAAGTCAACAAGTCTGAATTGCATGTCTTTCAAATTATGAGGACTAATGCGAACCCATTTACCTAAATGAGTTGCTATGACAGGAACGTTTGGAATGAACATTGAATTTACTGCATAACAGAAGATTTATATTCTACTGAACCTTTACTATTAACTCCTGAAATACCTGTGACATTAGCTATTTTGACTCAATGTACAAACAATTGCCATAACATACGTATGGAACAGATTTCATCTCAATCGTTTTGTCAACACTTTTCAAAGGAAATGTCATATGGTATGCTCCCAAAAGAAGTTGAACTCTATGACTCATTCGTTTTATCTTGAACTCTTTCTTGCTACTGAACTTCAATGTTCCCTCAGAAGAGAGTTCGACATCTATGTTGTCAATAGTTTCTTCATTTATGAGAGTATCTATGACTCCAGCAATTTTATCTATTCTATACTCTGCTCTGTTAGGAAATGTTATAAAACTTCTTTTGTCATCTATTTCAATCTCTATGAAATCTGTTTCATCTGTTATGACAAAAGTTGCGATAGTATTGAAGTCAACAACTCTGAAAGCAAGTGCTTCATTCTGAAGACCTAAGTTTGTTTGTAGCTTTACTGTCCCGTATTCGTTTGGGTCTGTACTTTGCAAATAGAACAACATTTTATTCTCATTAAAATATGACTATTGCTGCATATGCGTATGAAACAAATGAAGCAAGAAGAGCACATGAACTAGTAAACGAAAACTCAACTTTAACCATTGAAGGCAATGATTTAGTCATTGACGATGGAAAAACTAAAAAAGTCATTGATTTCGATACTTTTAACACTTATGACCCATTCATTACAATAAGTAAAGTTCCTATCATAAATGATGGAACGGTGCAATATATAAATTCTACAGTAGATGCCTCATTAGTGAAAGTATTAAATGTTCTCATTGAATTGTTAAAGAGCTTTCGATTTGACGACAACATTAAATGCTTAAAGAATTTAGTCATGAATGAGAAACAAATTCTTGGCGTTGCTGGTAGCAGTAATGATGTACACCTTATGACATTAGAATATTATAACGAACATAAAGATGAACTGAAAGGAGAGAAGGGTGACACCGGACCACAAGGACCACAAGGAATACAAGGAATACAAGGAATTCAAGGAATTCAAGGACCTCAAGGCGAAAACGGTTTGGATGGAAAGGATGGAAAGGATGGAAAAACTGCTAAATCATGGATATGGGACCTTATAAATACTGGTTTAACAGCTGCTTCATATGGAGTTCTTCAATACCAAATCGGAAAGATATGGGCAGTACTTGGTGAAGAAGCTTTAAATGACGTTAAAAATGCTTTGAACTTCATTTCAAATGGTTCGGATACTATTAAAACTTTATCTGGTTGGATGCAAGAAACAAGGAGTCAAATAGATACTGTAAGACGTATAGCAAACAATGCACGTACGGGATTGGATACTTTACGACAAGCACAAAATACACTAAAGGAAGCAAATGATATTCTTGGCTCAGTATCAGACATGCATGAAGATTGGCTTAAAGGTATTGACAAATCTTTAAAAAATCACAGTCAGTCTATTGCTGACTACAAGAAAAGTATAGATTTTTTACATAGTGCTATGGACGTACATGATGGAAGCATAAGGAACTTACTTAATGCTAACAATAACTTACCAGGAACTATTAAAGCATTTATAAAGTCCTTTGTAAAACCCGGTGCTCTAACATTTAGGTCTTTGAGAGCAAGAGCATTGAAGTCAAGAGATGCAGAAACTCCAACAGAACCTACAGAAGGAACTGAAACAACAGAAACTCCAGAAGAACCACCAAAACCAACAGCTAATGAAATATTGTTCGAATATTTTCCAAGGTACTCTGTTCTCATTGCATACATTCAAGAAATACTTAAGAAAGCAGACTTGACTTTAGGAGATGATGAAAGTTCTGTATATCTTTCGTTCCAGTTTCAAATAGCAGAACTTTTGAGACAGATATGCTTAATGTATGACAACATCTCTGATTTCACAAGATATGATGACGACCATGACCCCGAACACGGTGAAGAAGAAGTTTTACAAACATCCATTAAGACAGGAAAGGTTTTAACACAAAGTCTCATTATTGACACCAAAGATGGTGAAGTGGACGTTCTTCAAGAGCTGAAGAAAAATACTTCTTCGGGAGGTGGTGGTAGGCATGAACTTGAAATAAATGAGATAGAAGAGAAATTAGCCGAAAAAGCAGATAAAGAACATAAACACAATATCTCCGATATAAATGAACTTCAAGCTACATTAAATAGTAAAGCGACAAAAATGAACTTGACGCAATGAACAAAGTTTTGAAATCTCATAAACACAATATCTCCGATATAAATGAACTTCAAGCTACATTAAATAGTAAAGCGGACAAGAACCATGTTCATTATATAAGTTCAGATGAACAGATTATAACGGACTATCATGGATATTTAACACGAAGTGATGAAGCGAAGACAAAAAATGTTAATGAAAGAAGATATAAATACATTCGTGCTAAAGGTTATGACATAAGCTGTACTGTACAGTATGATGTAGCTAAAGCACCAGAAGCATTTGGTTATACCGGTGAAATTTATGCCTCTACTTTCAATGTTAACGGTGTACTAGTTGAACCAAGATTTACTTTGAGAGTTAAGTCAAAAATAACGTTTGAAGATGCTATTAAAAGTAAAGCTGACAAAGTTGAACTTGAAGCAATGAACAAAGTTTTGAAATCTCATAAACACAATATCTCCGATATAAATGAACTTCAAGCTACATTAAATAGTAAAGCCGACAAAAATCATACACATAAATCCTTCACTACTGTTAGAGCAGACGACATAATATTGAACTTTGACCTTGGTTCAAGTGCACCTTTAGAGAATCCAAGTACAAGCGTAAAAGATACACTAAACAATTTAGATAAGAGTTGCAGGAATATTGAAAGTCATGCCAGAAACTTTGAAGCACATGAACTACCCGCAATGTTAGATAAAAAGGCTGACAAGAACCATACACATAAATCCTTCACTACTGTTAGAGCAGACGACATAATACTGAACTTTGACCTTGGTTCAAGTGCACCTTTAGAGAATCCGAGTACAAGCGTAAAAGATACTCTTAACAATTTAGATAAGAGTTGCAGGAATATCGAAGATCATGCCAGAAACTTTGAAGCATATGAACTACCCGCAATGTTAGACAAGAAAGCAGACAAAACAGAGCTTCAAACATTAAAGACTCAGATTCTTGAAACATTATATCCTATAGGCTCTATTTATACGTCAATGAACTCAACAAATCCAGCAACAGTTTTAGGTTTTGGTAAGTGGGAACAGATTGTAGACAAATTCTTATATTGTACTAAAAGTTCAAAACAAGCCGGAGGTTCAAAGAAAATTACAGAAGCAAACCTTCCACCGCACACTCATACAGGAACTACAAACTTTTCTGGCGACCATAGCCACTCATTAAGAGACCACCCATTATACAACTCAGAGTATGAAGCTGGCAATGATGTTTTATCTCCATCTTATAACAATGCAGCAAAAAAGACTTTTCGACAAACTGAACCAGGAGGAAATCATGTCCATACTTTCACAACAAATCCAACAGGCTCGGGTGCAGATTATATGCCACCATTTATGACTGTATTCGCATGGTACCGCGTTGAATGAACGCGCTTGAGCCCAGACCTTTGTGTCAAGGCTTACCGTCTTGAATGAAATCTTTAACTTTACATAAATGAGCTTGAAAGAAGTATTCGAACAACATCCATGGAGGTCATTTAAGAAGTTCAATGAAGCTGCAAAGAGTCGGGGATTTACTAACAGAGCTGAAGTGAAAAAGTTCTTTGACAAAAATGTTGTACATCAAACAAAAATAAACCCTTACGACTACTTTTTACCAATTTACTCCATCACTCCCGACGCATACCAATTTGACACTCTCATTCAAAGCAGAAAAGGAGGACATAAACCATTCCTCATCTTCATTAATGTTAACACTCGTAAAGCATATGCATATCCAATGAAAAATAAAGGAACTCGTGAAGTGTTAAGAGTTTTACAAAAGTTTGTAGCAGAACATAGCCCAAGTACTTTAACATCAGACCAAGACAGTGCATACCTCAGCAACGAAATCACAGATTTTCTCATTAAGCATAACATAACTCACTACACTACTGAAGACCATAACCATAACATACTCGGCATCATAAACCGCTTCATAAGGACTCTCAGAGATTTAAACCAAGAGCGAGACTTTACCGAAGAAACAATGAAACATTTTCTCGAAGTATATAATTCCTCAACACATTCTACAACAGGACATACACCAAATTCAATGACACAACAACAAGAAGAAAAGTATATACAAAAGAAACGAAGTCAAACACAAAATATCAGAAATTCAACACAATTTACCCTCATTCCTGGTACAAAAGTTCGTGTAGTTCTTGACGACAAACCGTTGACAAAGAAACGTTTAAGGTTAAGTAGAAACTATTATATCGTAGACTCTACGCAAGGTAATGGATATCTTATAAAAGCTGCTGACGACTCCATAGCATTTTATCCTCGTCATAAATTAGTCGAAAGTAGTAATGGCAAACTTGCTGAAACCATTGACGAAGCAAAGCGAGGAGTGGTTATTGAAATACTTGGCTACAACATAAACGATGACACTTATAAAGTAAGATATGAAGGAGGCGTTGAAGATGTTATACCATCTAAGAACTTGAGAGAATCTAAACCAACACATCTGGGACCATTAGAGCGGGAGTACTGGAAAGACAAAAATATGCCAGAAAGAATAAGAAAATTCTTCTAAACTTTTTCGTTGGATGTAAATCAGACATGAACGAGAACAGTCATGATATCATTAATGGTACCATTTATTTTAACATAAAGACGCAAACGGACTCTTTGAGTCCTGAGGTCTTTCAGACCGAAGCGGCGAGGACGAAGTCCATGACCAAAAATAATGTTTAGGGTAGATGGTTAGATCTAACCTCATTTCTACCCTCATTTCTACCCTCTTGAATTTTCATGAATTTTCCCGAAATAAAAAATAAAGTTAGTTTTATTTTATTTATTTTGTATTTTTTGTATGTAAAGACATGATTTCAGGGATTTTTTTGACGAAGTGTCAATCTTCACTTCGTCAAAAAATAACAGTTATCTAATGAAAAAGTGTCATTTTTTGTATTTTTTGTATGTAAAGACATGATTTCAGGGATTTTTTTGACGAAGTGTCAATCTTCACTTCGTCAAAAAATAACAGTTATCTAATGAAAAAGTGTCATTTTTTGTATTTGACGAGAATGTCGGGTAGATGTTTTGTCATGATTTCATCGTAAATGTTTTGTCAAGACTTCTTCGTATATGTTTTGTCATGACTTCATCGTACATGTTTTGTCAAGACTTCTTCATCGTAATGAGCGTAAATGTTTTGTGAAGAATATAGCAACAGTCTGAATTCCGACGGTTGCTTTTTATACAAAATTCATGCAGGAAATTCTTGAGTTTTGGTTGAAAGAATACGGTGGAGCCAAAAGTGGCTCGACCTCAAAACAAGCATTTTATGAGCTTACTAAGGGTGTTATGAATGAATTCAAATGTATTTACATACATCCTGACCTCGTTCATTTTGTTGCTGAATTCAGCAAAAATAATGTTTAGGTGAAGAGGTGAGATCTCACCTGTTTTCTCACCTGTTTTCTACCCTCTTGAATTTTCATGACTTCTTCGTAAATGTTTTGTCATGATTTCATCGTAAATGTTTTGTCAAGACTTCTTCGTAAATGTTTTGTCAAACATGAACGTAAATGTTTTGTCAAGACTTCTTCGTAAATGTTTTGTCAAACATGAACGTAAATGTTTTGTCAAGACTTCTTCGTAATGAGTGTAAAGGACCCAAAAATATAATTTAGGTGAAGAGGTGAGATCTCACCTGTTTTTTCACCTCTTTTTTCACCTCTTGAATTTTCATGAATTTTCCCGAAATAAAAAATAAAGTTAGTTTTATTTTTTTTATTTTTTTTATTTTGTATGTAAAGATATGATTTCAACAATCGGCACAACAGCAATACAAACTACAGCACCAAACTCGTTAGTCATGAATCCAACATCTATGTTAGTAGAGATGAAAAGCTTCATTCCTTCTTCATATACTTTTGAAACAGAAATCCAGAAGATAAAGCAAGAACTTTTAACAAGTAATTTAGACTGTAGTGCGAAAGATGAAACAAATGAACAGTATCTTTATGAAATGCAGGACATTATTGACCATTTACCTAAACTACCTGAAATCCAACAACAAAAACTCACTATTCCTGAATTCGACGAAATTGAAGTGAAACCAACTGACTCAGTAGAAATAAAGAAGTTCATTCGTAAGGTAAACTATGAGTTTCTAGGATTTCATTGCAACCATAAGGTTATGGACAAAGATTGCGACATGGTATATAAGAATGTTTCTGACATATATAAATCTGAAGAATTTAAGACCTACGACAACTTTGTTTCGTTAGTTGCAGAATGTGTTTGGGAAATAAGAGATAAAGATAGAAGAGGCAAAGTATGGAACAAACAAATAAGACCCGCTATGTTTGAGATGAAGAGAGCAATTGACGCTTTAGTTGTTTTAGCTGGTTTTATTTCAATGTATAACGCAAAAATGAACCCGCAATGTTCTAAATGTAAAGCAGCAATGAGGAGATATAACTACTCCGTCAAAGAGATAGAACGTATGAGAAACGACTATGCAGATTTAAAGAAAGAAGCAGAAAAACCAGCAGAAAATAAAATGGACATGTTAGAATTTCTGAACAAAAACTATCCAACTGCTGACGATTTCCTTCTATCTGACGTCAAGAAGAAATATAAAGAAACCTTCGGCATAGTTAAAACATTCGATGTACTAAAAGAAGAAATAGAAGCTACAAAACTGTTTAGGATTTCAAATATACATCGTACAATTCATGTAAAACGCTTGTGAAAAAAAGAGGTGAAAAAACAGGTGAGAAAACAGGTGAGATCTCACCTCTTCACCTAAAATATATTTTTGCTGAATTCAGCAACAAAATTCTGAGTAAAATGGCATATGGCATGTGTCAAACCGTTGAGTTTTCACAAAATTCCAAAAATAACGTTTACCATGTGAAACGTTTATAAAATAACTGGGGTAGAAAAGAGGGTAGAAATGAGGTTAGATCTAACCATCTACCCTAAAATATATTTTTATTGAATTCAGCAACAAAATCATGAATTTCCTTAAGACAGAAAAAATAAAGTTAGTTTTATTTTTATTTATTTTTTTATTTTGTATGTAAAGACAGATATGTTAAACATTGAGTTTGAAACAGTTAGAAAGATAGACAATGACACCAAAGTGGTTAGAATAGGTGATTTAAACGTAAGATACTCAAAGAAATACAACAAATATTCTTTGTCAGACATTATATTTCCATCTGGAAAGAAAACACACGACTGGGTTAGAAATGCTTCAACTCAAGAAATTTTGACAAGAAATCCTGAGCTTATGATATCGGTAAGATTCTATGGAACTACAGCATATCTTATAGACAAAAGTCTTATACCAATATTTTGTTATGGATTGACCCAGTTGTTGGATATAACTTCATAACTTATGGTTCATTCGATACGGAACGTTGCAGTGAAGGCTTACTTTACATCGTTCAGAACCGAAGGACTTCAACACAAAAAGATATAAGATAGGAAGACATATAATATAACTCAAAGATATGACAGTACAGTCAATAGAGTCAAGGTTGTGTTCGTTAATGATATGAGAGCTGAGAAACAGAACTACTCGAAAAGTTTGAGAAAATGTATGGTGCTCCCATAAAAGGTAAAGAAACGTTTAAAGTAGATGAGATAGATAAAGCTATAAAATTATTTGACGAAGTTGCTGAAAAATACATGTAAAGCGTTTATTTTTGGTCTTTTGTGAAAGATAGAAAATAACGCTAATTTTATTTTTATTTATTTTTTTATTTTGTATGTAAAGACAGTAATGTCAACAACAGAGAACACAACAACTGCTATCGTTCATGAAGCCATAAATGAAGAATACGAATACATACAGTATAACAAACAATTGAGACTCATTCGTTCAGTCAAAGATGACATGTACCAAATGCAAAGTATAATGAATGCTCTTCTTTCTACAAAGCAAGCATATCATTGGTTTGAAAACCAACAGGCAAAAGAACTTTTAGAAGAATTTCCTCATATGATTGCTTCCCTCGGAAAACCGAGGGAAGAGATTCCGTACGAAAATCGCAAGAATTTGGCACCTGGTTTGAAAGGTTATTATGTTCATAGACTCTTTAGTAAATGCTGTAGCAATGTGGGCTTCACCTCGTTATGCTTGTTATATTTTCATGATGTTAGATGAACTATATAAAGCAGAACGTGGAGAGATGGAAAAGAAACTTCAAGCAAAAGATGAAGTCATTGAATCCAAAGACAAAAGCATACAGAAAAGAATACCACGTTCGGTACCAAAAGGAAAGGAAAAGAGTTATAAGTATATGATTTACGCTGAAGAGTTGGAGAAAGAAGAAGATAGAGATATGGTTATGTTGCATTTAGTCAGAAGAAACAACAAAAGCTTTTACGACCTTGCTAAAAATTTAAAAATCTGACAGAAAACTGGTTCTATCGTGAAAACTTACCGATTTCAATGACACCGAATGAGCAAATAAAGGAAATTGTCAAAATACTCTTCCTCAAACACACTATGATATGAAAGGTTGTACAATACTTACCTTCAAAGAAGACTTACCGCTTACTGAAGGAAAAATAACAGAATATTTCGATAACTTCAAAGAGGAAGAATAAAAAAATCTAAGCTAATTTTATCTCATATGAAAGAACATGAATTTAGAATATTCGGAACTCATGACAGAAGAAGAGAACGAACAACATGTAAAAGATTATGCAAAATTTCTGAAGACATACAAAGCATTTAAACAATATCTAAATGCTTCTAAAGATTATGCAAAATTTCTGAAGGTATACAAAGCTTATGAAAAAGCGTATGAAAAGTTTATACATTGGGGAATTGTTGTAAAATATCCATATGAAGACTAACCAAAATATATTTTTGCTTAAATAGCTTCAGGGTCTATTTCTTCAACCATTTCACTTTCTTCGTCAATGTCAATAGAAGCTTCTTCAACCTTTGGTAAGAATTTCTGTATAACATCTTTGTTCGTTATTGTCTTCAGAGATGAAGGATAATATTTCACATTTGTTTCACCCTTCTTATATTCTTTCTGTTCGGAAAGATTTAAAGCAATACTGAAGAAGTCAATGTTAGAGTTCTTTATGACAGTAATAATGAGTATCTTTGACATTGACGAAGAAACTCTTTTGTTTCAAAACTACTGCTAACTCTTGTGAAGTATAACGTTTGCGGTCAATGACAATAGCTAATGGTCTGACATACTGACCAAACTTAGATTCTTTCACAAACTTCTTTGTTAAAGATAACATTAACGTTTGAAGCACCATTGAACTCATTCTTGATGGCAGTAGCGAGAGCATTGTATGAAAAGAACTTGCAATCTTTGCATGTGTTTCATTAAAATAAAAATATTAAATTATTATTTTGAAAAATAACTTAAAAAAATCTAATCTAATTTTTTCAAAAAATATTTTTTATTTCCTACTAAAGATGTATCGGAAGTTGTCTAAGTTAGAACACTCGGAAATAAAACAACTTCTTACAGAAGCTAATATAGATGTTGCAAAACATTACGCAACAAACAAAAAAGCACTCGCTGACATCCTCAATGACTATAATGGTGCAATAAGTTATGATAGAATTCATGAGTTCATAAAGCCGCAACGCGGCGAGGACGAAGTCCACGCAAGAGCATTTCCTTTAAATGACATTGCTATTGACTTATATCATAGACGTTCAGTACCTCATGAAGTAAGGCGTGAGATGTTTGACATAACAAATGCGAACGTTGGTGAAACAAGAAGAAGAGACGACACACTGAAACAACAGAGAAGAGAGATGTTTAAAAGTGCTATAGAACAAGTTCGCAAAGCTAACGATGTCATTCGTTCCATTGACGACAAACCAAAAGAAGGTGAGAGATGGTTAAAGAAAGATGAAGAGAATAGGAAGAGAAATGTGAAGTCAGGCAATAGACTCATTGACTTTAACATCGAAGCTTTAGATGAACCAAACAGAGACTACTTACACAAACATTTCGGTAAGGTTTTCATGAGACTCTTAGAGAAGATTAAAATAAACTCCCAACAAAGATGGATGGTATGTTATAAACTTGGTGGAAAGTATGAATGTTCTACGTTAAACCTCAATAATATTGGAACATTACTACATCAGCTCTTGAAGGAGAACTTTATATCAGAGATAGAAGCAAATGCTGCAGGTATTGTTGAAATGCACTATGACTTCTTCTTGACAAACATAAAGAATCTTACCGAAATAAAGATGTATGATTTAACAGAATATGAAGGCTTAACGATGTCAGATGTAAGAAAGGAAACCAAGAAGCGACCATATAGAGATGAAAGCACACTGACAAATGACCAGAAAGCCATTTTGGAAGCTCTTAAGCAAACAGGAAACCCAGCACTTATAGAAAGCTTTTGGAAAGATAATGGTGAAAAGAAGTTTTATAAGAAGAGAAGCGGTCAGTTCTGGAAGTATCTTTGCACATTACCTATAAATCTTGAACGCTACCAAATCTTCAATGAACTGAACAAAAGAACTGCAACACTTATGACAGAAGACAATTGTTTCGTTTATGCTTGCATTCAGGCTGGAGTAGATGAAGAAACTATTGACCACATGAGAGAAGTCATTCGTGTTAGAGACTTTCCTCAAAGTAAAGTACAAGAAATTTCTGACGCAACAGGTATAGCATTTAATGTTACCATTGGTTATTTCAATGACTCAAGACATAATGAAATAAAGAGATATATACCAAAAGAATGTGAAACTGTTCGAACTATTGACTTACTTCTTGTTGAAGACCACTACATGCTAAACGAAAGATTACCAATGACAACATATTTCGTCAGAAATTACAAAGAAATCTTGAAGGAGTGTGGTGGAATGAACATTGAGAAACAGATGAAATATATACAAAGAGAGAGAACAAATATGTAGTTCGTTATGATAGAACTACACCCTATGGGATGTTATGAAAACATTGTGGGAGTGCAAATATTTCGAACCTATTTCTTATGGAGAACTTTTCACATATACGACTGACTTATATAAACAGAACCTTGCACCATTTAAAGATTTGACATATGCTCCAAAGTATTGTGTACAACTGAAGAAGAAAGCAGAGTCAAAAGAAGTAAATAAAAATAAGTGCAAGTTCATTCCTGAGCACGTTTTCTTTGCTGACTTTGAGTGTAGTACCGATGGCTTTCATAAAGCTTTTAACATATGTTACGACAGTGAAGATGGTTCAGTGAGTGAAAGCATTTGGGGTCAGAATGTGCAACAGAATTTTTGGAACGACTTCCTGACAAGAGTTTAATATATTTCCATAACCTCAGTTATGATATAAACTTCATCTTAAGACACATGACAGAAGTGAAAGGAACTCCCATCATTAAAGGTTCACGAACAATGCAAATAACTGGTTTATATAAAGGACGGGCAATTATTATAAAAGACTCTTACAGTGTTATAAATAAGAAGCTTAAACTATTTCCTGCTATGTTTAACTTACAAACAGGACCGAAAGAAGTATTTCCATATAACTACTACAGCAGTACTTTGTTAGCAAATGACAACAGAACTGGTGTCATTTCTGAAGCGTGTAAGTTTATCCAGGATGCAGATACATTATGAAAAACATAGATTCCATCAAAGGTTGCAGAATAGATGAAAACCACTTCGACTTAGAAAAATATAGCACATTTTATTGCAAACAAGATGTAAGAATTTTAAGAGAAGGTTTTGTAAAGTTCCGC